GGGCGGGTTGGAGAGAGTCAGAGGTTAAGTGAAATTGAAGTCTGGGTCGTTGATGAAAACTGAGCTTGCGAAATACGAGCAGACAGCCAACTGGTCGTGCTTTTTGGGCAATAGTTTCGTTCTCTTTTAATCTCAGTGAAAGAGAAGGGAAGAGGGAAATTGACAGTAGCGATCTGAAGAATCGTTTCGTTGCCAGTTTACTAGCTCCAGGGGGGCGAGCATGTGCGGTTAAATCCTGTCGCGGTGTCGCCCCTGTTACCGGACAGCGAAATATCCCGCTAAATAAATTGCTGCGACCGGCGGTTGGGAGGCGGCAGGACGAGAACCGCGCGCGATGGTTTTCTATTGAGAGCGAGATGATTTATGATCGGCAGTGCGCGCTTTTCCGCTCGCGGTTTGCGAAAAATCTCAGCGAAGTAAGGATACAACGAACATATAGAATATCCGGGAGAGAACCGACAAGAGGTCATCCAGTTGATGTATCGGGAAGGAGGACGAGGGATGATAAATATCATCAGGGTAGGATTTGGTTCTGGCAGCATATTCTGACATGTGCTCCCAAGAACCCGGATCATCTTTTCCCGGGTATAACAACTCTACGTTCCATGGCCGACGTTTTGCGTGATCATGATGGGAAGATTTGTCATCTCTCGTTTAGCTGGAATATTGTATCTAATCGACTTGTATCGATTTTTTACGATAAAAATATAAAGGTAAAAATATAAGGAAAAAAGAATACTTTCTATTAAATACAAGAGCGCGTGGAGGATTCACGATTAATCTCTGGATTTATCTAACATTACACAATAGTGGAATTCCGTTCGACAGTTCTTGATAGAATTCTCTCGGCAATGATTCCGACGGAAACGGTAAAGGCGAGACTATTTTTCAGTGGCGTCAGGGCCGCTGTATCTAGTCGTCGCTGGTTAATTCCATGAAATATCGGTCGCTGCACCTTTCCTGATAATGGACACTTCGACAGACTGCCCTAGTAAAAGCGATTTTTCATTTCGCTCTCGACATATCCCCTCTCTCTCTGTTATATCGTCTCTCTTTATCCCGATACATTTCGATTCGTCAATTATTTTCCGTGTTCACCGCGCGAGTTTTTTTGATGCGTATCTGCTGCATCGGAAAATGATGGTGATTCATCGCGATATACACCGCGAAAGCGTTTTAGTGCAAGCGATTTTCACCAACGCTAACTCTGCGAATATTCCGCAATATCAAAAGAGATGAACAACTTTATTCACGCGATACTTTTGATCATCTACAATAATAATAGGAATTTTAATTCATTAAGCGATATATCCTTCAACAAATGAAAAATATTTTTTTTTTAATTTAATGAAGTCATCTTCCTTTTCAATTTTGTAATTTTTCTATTATTAAAAATTGTAATAATTAAAGAACATATACAAATTTTTACTAAAAATTACATTTTGAATAAATTATTATATCACATTTATTAAATTTATTCAATTTTAGCTAAAATAATAATTATTAAAATATATATGCAATTTTATTTATATTAATCTACATTTTTAAAGTTAAAAATATAAATTTGAAATGATTTTATGCTAAAAAGACAATCTTTTATCCTTCTCATTTCAGCCTTAAACATTTACCATTTTAAAAGGAAAAAATCTAGGACACTCAGTATAGAATATGTTACACGTATAATATGATATCATATCACTTTGTGGCTGATAAGTAACATGAGAACCTTCATTTTCACGCGAATACGTGTCCAAAAAGGCTTTTATCGTGCGACGCACATTTTGCGGTAAATCTTCATCAAGAATCATTGGAGAAGTTCTCGCAGGAAATTGCGATTTCGCGTTTGTACCTGGAAATAGACGAGAGTGGGTGCGGGTGTATGCAAATTTCGATACACTGCGAGATGGAGCTTGTATAGACTCGAAAATAAAATGCACCGCGGTACTTGATCCGAATTAACAAAAAAAAATTGAAATCTATCATTCTTAATTTTTCGAATCAATTGTGTAAATAACTATACACTGTATCGCTTTCAAGTGATTTAACTATTTTCGCAATTTTAAGCAGAAAAGTAAAAATATAAAGTGTTTAATTATTTCTATTGATGGTTAAATCAGAGATATATAATTATTGCTATTGTTTCTAGAAACTCTTCTATTTTGTTTATCTGTCAATTTTAATTAATTTTAATTGCATTATGTTTAATATTAAAATCGATATAAAATCAAGCAAAATACGAAAAGCTTACAATCGACATCATGAGGAAAGACAAGCAGTATCTGGCAATCAATCTCAATGATGCCATTTCAACGTATCTCAAACTTGCCGTCAGACAAATCGATACTTCTGTATATGAAACAGAGAGAGAGAGAGAGAGAGAGAGAGAGAGAGAATATCTCTTCATCAAGCTATAAATTGATTTCGACAAGGGGAGGGTTCGCGCAACAAAGACTACACATCGCACCGCATATCATACTTCGATATTCTGCGAAATGATGTAATCTTGTTAGATCGTGTCTGATGATTGGCCCTTTATCTCTGGAAGACTCATGTTCACGCGAGAATCAATGTTCGTCTCGATAATCGTAACGCTATTGTACAAAAGATGGGTTACCCCGATTAGAAATTCTTACGTGGAATCTTTATGAGCCTTTTGATCTCTCCCTCGACACATTGCCATTCCGGATCACGTGTCGCACAAAGCCGAGATAGTCCAGCTGTGCCTTCCAATCGACATTCAAGATACGTAGAACAGGAAGCATCTGTGCATTTACATACGGATCTGCGATGCTATCTACAAAGAGGATGAGAGAAGGAAAATATATTCTCGCGCGCGAACAAGGTGCATTTTTCTCGCAGTAGAAAACAATCTAAAATGTATCACGCGCTATTGTTGCAGTGGCAACTAGTCTTTCATAAAATATTGAATTAAATTTAAATTTAAATTACATATGAATGTCTAATAAAAATGCATAAAATAATACTTGATAATTAATGGAATAGGTAAAATCTATTCGGACATTGATTTGTCCCTTATAAAATTTTCAGCATTTATCGCGCATTGAATTCTCCTCTCGTCTCAGCCAAAATTTCTGATTCTGTTTATAACAATCTTGTCATCACCGTACTTGCTCGGCTAATATTTATGAAATGAACATGTGTGTGTCCGTAAAAAAATTGGAATATTCGGACCATGACAAACAAACGTAAAGGGGAACGCAATTCAAATATATTCATTTACTTTGTACGGATAAACAGTGCTTTTATTTATTTACATCAAATACTCAGCAAAATTGCATGCGCGCACATTGAATAAGTTGGCAGAATAAACTGTTCGACATGGCAGGCCGGATTATTAATGCAGTTTATTTTTTGAAAGCGTCATACGCTGGAAAGCTTGGCGACACACTCGGGACGGAGAAATATTCCACCGATATGGTCAATGCAATCGGGGCTGCCTTTACGCGAAGTCATATCACTGGAAAGTTGAGCTGTATAAAAACGATACAATTTATCATCATGCACTGCTATCTATAAAAACGATCAAATCCAATGAAATTTAAAAAAAATACATGAAAACATTTTTATTACATCGTACTTTAAAAAAACAAATTTTGTTTGCGTATTATATTTTTTATTATATTTACATTAATGAAATACATTAATAACTTGCATTATACGATAATACCTTTCGTTAATTTATTTTTAATGGAAGCCATCACAGATATAAATTAATAATATAATATTATTTTAAAGAAATTGTAAGAAATTTAATATTTTTAATGCGTATTTACGTTAGATAAATTTATCACGTCATTTCCAACAAACTGTGAGTAGATATTAAATGAAGATAACAATCGCTCGATGAGTATAATCGGATAAGACAACTGACGGGATCAGCATTTTCTCAATGAAGTCAGCGCAAAATTGCATTTTCAATAATTCACTGCAACTCTCTAATCAACTGCTGCTGGTAAGCTATATTTCCTGTTTTGATCGTAATTTTCGGGTCGAAAGATAGTCCGCGAGGGAGAAAAGGGAACTGATAACAAAATAATCTCAACACACCGCAATCATCTACGATGACTAGTACCTCCGGATTCTCTTCCCGACTTTGGGGAAACTCGACCATTGCGCTTAGTTCACTTTACCTTCGATAATCGACAGAGCTCTATTGGCTATCTATATTTGCTATAACGATCTAACATCCGTTAGCAGGTTTCTCCAGCTTAGAAACGTTGTTACGTTAGCCCATGTCAGAAGTATAGAATTGGCGTTAGATAGAATAGTTCGATGATGGACATAATCCTTTAATATTGGTACCGATATTTTTCACTAAAATTGTTCTTTCATTAGAGTTATTTCTTCGTAAATCGCATCAGTTGTAAATTGAAAAAGGAAACTTATCTTTTTTAATAAAATGTCATTAATCGATATTATACAAAATATAAATTTAAAAAACAGATACGCCAATATATCTAGATAATATTTTTTTTATTTTATTTAAATTATGAATATAACACAAAAAAATCAAAAAAGAAATAACGAAAACCACTCTCAGTCAGTTAAAGCCGGATTATCGATATACCTCAGCCATTGAGCTTAGTGGATCGAAATAAGAGCCTGCCGCATAATAGTGCGATAATCTAATCCGATTTAAAGCGAGTGAAATAATTCCGGATTAAAGTTGCGGAAAAATTATTTTCATTTACGTCTCGATTCGGTGAAGAGATCAAATATTGTTTATTGTTTATTTTCCCTTCAATTGTTGATCGGACAAGAAACTATCAGATTCGCTAGGTTCCGACATGTAAGATCTCTGTCTGCCTCTACTTACGATGCCGTAATCGCACTCGCAAAGCGCATACACACACGCATACACGACACAGAAATAAATTAAAAAAAAAAAAAAGAAAAAAAGACGGCTTGGTATCGAATCGGAAGTACAAAGTAAGCTCGACCGCCGCAGCGCCCAGAACCACTAATGTGCTCGCTCGCAGCGCGGACGGCAACTTCGAGGTGACCTTGGCCACGAAGGCCACGATCTACCATCAAGGATTGGTCGAGTGGAAGCCGCCCGCCATATATAAATCATCGTGCGAGATCGACGTGGAGTACTTCCCATTCGACGAGCAGACCTGCGTCCTCAAGTTCGGTTCGTGGACCTATGACGGCTTCAAGGTAAATTCGCATGGTAGCCGTTAAGTCGCGAGACTCCCGATACCTAATCCCTCACCCTTACCCCGACACCCCCTCGTGCAACCCCCCTCGAACAACCTATCGAGTTGTACCCCCGAATACCCGAGACGCGGATCCGACACGACCTCTGGTCCTGCGGGATGCGTCTCCGGGTACTTAGCTGTAGATCTTAAGCGTAGATTAGATCAGACGATCGGCTCGCCGCGTGGGTCTCCGATCGATCGAGAGGGAGAACCGGAAATCATCCCGGAAGACGGATGCTGCCATATAGCCCCCAACATGACGCTGTCACGGACAATGAATCACTGTAAATTGAGAGAAAGCGTCGATTTTTATACGTATAATCGAATATTCTTTTAAAACAATAGAGAAATCAACGTTATTATAAATAATCATTCATCAAAATCTTGCCTCGAAAGAAACATCAAGTGATTCTCTAGTTTTATTAAAAGCATAACCGTTCCATTATTATATTATATAACTCTGAAGATGAGAGAAAAACTGAAATCTATATAAATTTTTAAAACTATCGGGTCTTCGCGAGTTGATCGAAGTATCGGTTTTCCATTTCGAAATCTCCGATCGGAAAGTCGTTTCGGTCGAGGCGGTAAATGTACCATGATAACCGTATGAATGCGTTCGATATACATGATTCGCAAATATCAAAAGATAGAGAAGAAGAGTGAGAGAGAGGGAGAGAAAGAGGAGAGGAAGAGAGAGAGAGAGAGAGAGAGAAAGAAATTGAAAAAAGAGGCAGCATCCGGAGACCTTCTCTCCGAGCCCATCGTGATCACGCTCGGCTCGTTTCTTCGGTGATTCCAGCGCCGATGGCAACTACGAGGTGACGCTGATGACCAAGGCAACGGTCTACTATTCGGGATTGGTCGTGTGGCAACCGCCGGCCGTATATAAATCCTCCTGCTCCATCGACGTTGAGTTCTTTCCATACGACGTACAGACCTGTGTTTTGAAGTTAGGCTCCTGGACCTATGACGGCTTTAAGGTGCCGCACCACTACAACGCAACGAGCACGAGAAGCGCAATCGCCAAGCATTTAGTCTCGAGAATATTTGCTCATCATCGGTCTACTCTAACGTTATCCTTTAGCTCGTTTTCCATTTTGTGTTCTCATTGTCAAAGAATGCCTTCCTCGACACCCGTAATCGTTCCTGCGATGCGCTAGTCTTGGACGTCACGTGATATTATATATATTTACATATATTTATATTATATATTCATCCGTCTATTTCTACGCATGTATACAGGGTACGCCGGATATACTCCGCACTTCCCTGTCTCATTGGATTTCTTTGCCAATTTTCGAAGTCGATCTATTTTCGTTTAATATTTTTCTTTTAGCCATTAAATTTCAAACTGAAATTCTCGAGAGTGAACGAAGAATAAGTGCTTTCGTTATTTATTTGCACGATGCATGATAATTCGTACATTTTCGATAACTGAAACTTCATTAACGATGCTTCGGCATTCTTGAAGAGATCAACTCTAAATTGGTCGAGAAATCCGTAAATAAAGAAAATTATACGGGGTATCCTATAGATATACATACGTATATATATTTGGATATTGTTACGTGGTGTGGACTGCAGTGTTATTTTATTGACCAGCATTCTCCATCGTGATACGACGCGCGGTCGGCTCGTTTTCATATCGTTCTACGATGCGTCCGAGAAATTGGGCGAGCTCGCGAGCTACCTAAACGCATCCGTCAATGCGGTTCGTGTTTGCTGTCTAGGCGAGGATCGACGAGCTTATCCGGTGTCCACGATGTCAGACTGTAATGGAGTGCGCGTACGGACGATTCGAGAGATTTACCGTTGTATGTCGAATGGAATCGCAATCGTCGACGTTTGTTAAGCGGTATATCCTGTTGCACTGCGGATTAATTTCGTCATTGGAAAAAAACGCGATAATCATAGGAAGTGGCGTGAAAATAATCGATCATGTTTCCGATGAGAGCAAATATCGCATATTAATTTTTACTTTCTATTGGCATTTTCCGAGAACCGATTTTACTGAATTTTTTATTTCTAAATCCTCTTCGCTTAAGTTTTGGCAAGTTTGCGATTCCACATGTGTGTCATAAATACAAAATTAAACTAAAAATTCGTGTAAGAATCCGCCAGTAATTTATCGCGTTTGCGAGTAAAATATTGTAAGGCTTCCGTCATACAACGTAAAAAAGATGCAATAATCCTTTTGATCCTCGCTTCGACAAGTAAGCAAAAAGAGCGAAACGTCAAAAGATGTCTCGGTCATGATCCACACTGAAGAGAGTAAATATTCACTTCCTTAATCATCTCATTTTATTCTTTGATATTTATTTAGCAGCCGAAATTTTTAGAGATCGTTAAAGACACGATCATGAAATTGATCGATAACGCCGGCCGTGAATTTTATGATTGTTTATTTTTCTCTAGCTTGTTCTCTTTAAAAGACACTCGACACACGTGGGAAAGGTATAAAATCTCGCGACAAGATTCTTGAAACACCATGACACACGAAACGAGAGACATGCACCCGTGTGCCGCTATAGAGACACTCTGTAAGAATTTCCTCCATGAGTATGACAGCCACATAAATTGTCACTTCACCTACTTATCTCGTCTACTTATCATTGATAAATTGGCTAATATATGAAAAGCCAAAAAAATAGTTGCGCGTTTTCTTGCATAAATAGAAAATAATAAATGATTCGCGCAAATACAATTTTAATTTTACAATTTAAATTTGTTTCTTTTATTATACATTGTTTATTTTAGACAAATTGTCATATAAGATTTTGTTGTTTTATATTTATCCAGGAGTGCAACTTACTTTAAGATCCATTACCAGCCTTCTATTCAGTTTGATTAATTCATAATAATTATATGAAACACAATCAAATGCGTAAAAAAAATCGACAGCATATTTTCGCGAAAGAATGTGATTGAGAAATGAAGGAAATACTAAAAAATAAAAAGTTTATCACATTTTCTAAAATAAAATGTAGATATAATTGATTTCTCCAATATCCGCTATTTAGTTTTACATTCTATTAAACGACATCCAAAAGCAATCTGTTATTTCATCAATCGCATCGCACAGATTCGATTCTACATTTGACCAACGCTGATCCGATGAGCATGCAATTAAACGCATGTCGACAACGCAATTTATCCGTCTAGACCGGCGGGCATACGAGAAAAGTAGGACGATCGAGACGCGATCGATACGGTAAAGGGCCGTCAGTCACGCACCGTGGAGCTTTTCGAATTTCTCGTTCGCGATTAAAACTCTTGCGTTCGGAGCGAAAGGAATACGACCTAACGTAAAGTATCTCTCCCTTAAAAAAGTCATTTTTATTCCATTATTTATTACATTCTGCGACGTAAAAGTCACTTGACAGAATCGGTACCTTTTGGCCAACTAAAATACAAGCGTCAAAGTTCCTTTTTCAGTCAAGATTGACACATTGAATCTTTTTTATGTAAAATAATCTTTTCCTTACTTCAAGCAAGTTTCAGTAATATTTAAATCGAGTTTTTCCTTATGTGTATATACGAAAATCACACATGTATCTTCGTGTACTAATGTCTGAATTTTTGTGATCATTTTTCTAGTCTCTATAAAATCGATCAATACATGAGATTATTTTATATCACAATACACTTATCATATATTTACAAATAAAATGTTTCAAAAAGACGTATTGATATCTCATTATACGAATATTGACGTATAATATAGCCAAGAGAATTACATTTGGTATACATATGTTTGCGTTATCAAAATATCTACGGTTTATTCATAAATTCGCATGCATTCTCCGTGGTACATCGTTAAAACTTGTCGTCGCGAAATTTTTGCATTTTTTGCAGTCGTTCGTTAGTCTTGCCAATAGGATTAAACGGGAAAGTGTTACATTCTGTAGGACAATTCACTACAGAGGTTTCTCTCGCAAAACCGATGAGAATCGCGTTGTAACGAATGCAAATTCTTTTCTCGATAACGGTATTTAATTAATTTCGAAAACCCATATTGTGTATACCTTTCTGTGTATGACTTTCTTTAAATATTTTTCTGACATGCAAACCATAAACATCGATCGCATTCTCGTCAATTTGAAAAATCAATTCGAAAGAGATACATGTTGCATAGAAATCGCGGGGAAGAGATAGAATTCGCAAGAAATATTTACACTCTATGTACAGAATACAGCTCCATTTGCGCTCTATCCGCGCGACGCGAGATAATTTGACTTTCCGTCTCTCCTACCGGCGTTTCTCCCGTCGACGTGTTTTATTGCGGCGATAAAGGACGGATCGATATTCCGGTATATACGTATATACGGCGGTTTCTGTGCGTTCATTCTTGTCTATATCTGCGCCAACCGAGCTGTCTATGGTTATCAGAGAGATGATACATAATATAAAGCTCAAGCCGCGGAATGAATATCGAAATGCTTGCTCTGCGGCCGCGATCTAATGCGCTGATAAATCGTAACGGTTTACCTCCAGTGTTCTGATTCCAGTATTTTGCTGGCATATTTTGTTATCGTAACACTTTCCCGGATGTGTGAAACCAGGCTCTCCTTTTCTCGACCGACGTGACGTTTATTTCTCGTTCTTTGGAGCGCGCGGTAATTTCATGATTTTCATGGACGTCTTTGTTCAACGATAAATTATAGACCCGCGTAATTAGCAGTGGTGTAGTATCGAACATTTGCGCGTTGCATAAATAAAATCGTGGATGTCGGGTCAGCACGCTACTTCGCTCGTGTGACCCACGAGCGAATAATTTGGGCGCTCGTTCTATAATGATGCCATTAATAGCGCACGATGCCGGCTTGGCTCGGCAACGCTCAATAATGATTAAAATATACGAGACGTCTCTCTATTACATGCGAACTTTATAATTTAATCGTTAATTGTAAAAATATTTGGGACACGAGAAAATCGATGTAACGTATTTTTTATTCGGAG